CGACTGTTCTTTAATTAGTTTGGTTACTTTTGGAGCAGTTTATCAGTGTCATCCAAGCAGTAATCTAGGTCACGTTTTTGTCATCTTCATCAATTTCTGCACTGAAACATATTTTATGAATGACTCCTGTATCCATAAGGTCAGAATAACACAGAATAAAATATTAGTAAATTATGGATGTGCATGTGCATATAGTTGATTACTTGTAATGTTAAGTTTTCCAGTGCTATGTATTATCGATGTAAAAATATTTTTGTATCCCTTCTGATTATCAAAATGTAGAATATGGCCTGTGGTTTAATGCATTCTGAAAAGCAGTATTTTCTCAGCTGTATTACCACAAACAGTATACCAGTCTGCTCCATTTTCACATCCTAAGTTTTGTTTTTTTCCCTTCCTCCTTTCTGTAGAAGTAGTTTGATGACAGATTCTAATTTGTGCCAAGAAGCTATAAGTTCTACAAAGATTTCAGTAACAACTAGTCAACCTTCTCCTTATTTCAGCTGTTCTAATGCAGATTTACTTGTGAATCCTCATTTCTGACTGTCGCTTAGCTCCTTTGTGATGAATATTTTCTAAGAATCTTTTTTAATAAGACAACTGAATCTGAATCAGCGGGTCTAAATTTATTATTTTGTAGATTGCTTTTCTCTGAAATTTTAATTTTGTTCCTTGGTTATTCTCATTTTGCCGGAGTAATAATGCAAATGTAACTGGCAATACAGAAGAAGGAAAAAGGTTTGTTGATAGGAAGATATTTAACTTGCATTTGAATTATGCAGGCAAGAAACAAATGAAAATGAAAATCCAATTCTGTGATTTATTTTGTAAAATATGCTTCTTGAATTCTGGCTCATTAGTTACAGCTAAAACAAATTTTGCCATCATACATTCTTTCCAGAGAAAACCAGAGTAATTGACATGTATAGGCCTTTCTCAGAATAATTAGCCCTGGATCCTTGAGTTTGAAGGGACTACTACTCATACAGAAAGTTAAGCATGTTCCTAAATTTTCAGGATTAGTTCTTAACTTGGTAAATATTTTCATCTTCAAACTGAAATTTCCCATGTTTGTTTTTCAGTCTGAGAGCAATTTTAAAAAATAAAAGAAAATTTGACCAAAATCATACCTCCATTTTAATGTATGAAGAGAACTGAAAAATCCTTTTGGTGTTTTTTAAGGCACAGTTGTAGCACATGAGCTATTTGGGGTCAACACTATGCAAGTTTGTTATGAACGTTGTTGCTAGGTTACACATATGTCATTTTGTGGTCTATTTAAAATCTATTTTGATTTGGCCAAATTATATGCATTTTTAAAAATTGTATTCCCTTTGGGGGCACTGTTTTTCTAAATGCTTTTTATACAACCTGGCAATGGTTTATTGGCTCAGAATGCATACAGATGTAAGTTGAATGGAAATTCTTGTTCAAAATATTATTTCTCAAACTTCTTTTGGCTTTGTGTGTCAATGTGTGTTGAACATGATCTGAGAATATCTGTATGCAGTGAGGCAGAACTTTGAATACTCTGTGTGAAGATGTATATAATACATGACTTTAACTGCCTCTTTTATGTGTATGCATTATGAAATAGTCTTTAATAGCATGTTAATATGCTATTTTTTCTACAAGATGCTACCTGTTTCAGTGCAGGGCTCCAATGAGGGGTTGGTCCACAGTGAGTGGAGACAGTTTCCTCATTCTCTGCACACCATTCAGTCCCTGCACTGAACAAGGAAAAGCTCCTATGGGAAAATGTCATTTTGTAATTAAAGACTGAATCATAACATATACGCACTTCAGCGCCTCCTGAATTTTGAGTGTTTTACTGTGCAATGCTAATTTTCCTTTATTATTTTGCATTATAAAAGAGTTCATTTACCAATTTAAAACTTCAGAGTCATTAATCCAATTGCCTTCACATTTAATATGAGGACTCTTCCTCTTTGAATTCTAGCCATGTGCAAAGTTTGAAGTTGAATGCCAAAAAGATGTTCAGAGCCACAGAGAAATGTGTGTATAGTCATGTGTATGTGTATAATTAATTAACTTTTGTTTCTCAACCTTGCATACTCAAATAGTTTAACTGATTTTCTTACAACTTTGCAAAAAAAATTGTGCGGACACAAAGCGTAAAAAGTTGAGTGAATAAAAATGTGGTTTAGAATGTAAATACCCTAACAATTGTTAGCATGGGTTGTACTAGTTACCTGAATATAATGCTTTGCTATACCTCTGTTACATTTGCAGTTCCTTAGACATATAGGGAGTGAAAATTCTAGGGCAATTGTTGTCACTCTTTTCCATATCATGGCCTCTCTTCCATCTAGTCTAAGGGCTTGTCTACACTACCCGGGCAGCGATCAATCCAGCGGGGGTCGATTTATTGCGTCTAGTATAGACGCGAGAAATCAACTGCTGAGCGCTCTCCCATCGACTCCAGTACTCCACCAGAATGAGGAGTGCAAGCGGAGTCAACAGGAGAGCGTAAGCTGTCAACTTACCGCAGTGAAGACACCATGGTAAGTAGATCTAAGTACATCAACTTTAGCTACACTATTCACATAGCTGAAGTTGTGTATCTTAGATCAACCCTGCTCGGTAGTGTAGACAAGCCTTAAACCTCCTTCCCTGACAATTTGCTAACATAGGAATAGTAGGTCCTGACTGATACCTGTTCACAACCCTCTGGGAGTCTGACCTCCAGGATAAGGACCCATGTCCTAAGGCATCATCTCTGTTACTTAAATGTACATACTGAGCCACCAGATCATGTTCAACTAGTTCTGTATGTAAAATGCAGTAAACATTTATAGGAAAAAATATTGTATTCAATATTTCATTGCAAAAGTAAAATAAAAACTGGGACTCCAATCCCCATTTGTGTTGCTTGTGAGATTCACTTTTCCTCAGTCCCATCGTTGCCCCCACTCCATCACATTATGTTAACTTGATGATAGTTAGCATTTAATGATAGTTCTTCAACTGCAAATAATGAAAAAGACAAAGTGTGCTAAGTATAAAAATAAAAATTGTCAAGCAGAGACCCAGATTTTGACCTATGTTAAAAACCTGGGGATTCTAAATCTGTATGCTTTAATATGCATATTGGCTTGCTTAAAAAGCAATAAATTGCTCTCTGCTACTATTCATGTAGTACAATGGGGCACAATCAAAGGAACTGTTTAATGCCTGTGCAGTATTGGGCTCCTATTTCCCCTTAAGCAAAGTTGATATTGGTTTCAGTATTTGCCAATTTTAAAGCCCTTATACAAAGAAGCTATAACAGTGGAACATGCTTAAATTTATTAGATGGATTATTGCCCTCTGTATAGGGACAGTTGTTGGGATGGTTTGGCAGAAGATCATTCTGTTTGGCAGGACGTTGTTTGCCTCATAATCTCATGGTAAGTTAGTCTATTACTCTGCTATGGGAGAATTAGGGGAGGAAAATCTAGATACCATTTATGTAGGACCTACAACTTCTTCAATGCAGAGCTAAGCATCAAGAGACAGTATATTAACAAGTTTTGTTCTCTGTGTTCTGCTGATGTCTGTAATGTTTGGTATATAGTAAAGCAATAAACCAGTCAGAGCCACAAATGGCTTGTACTTCTATAATGTTTATCAAGTGTAAAAAGACATGTCCTGTAGGGAACTAAATTGTACTGTCAGGCATCTGAAATATATACATAGAGTAAAAACTAAAACTTAAGGGAGAGTAGGGGGAATATTTTAGCACATACGTTTTGTTAGAGAATGATAGTGCATTTGCAGCTTTAGTAGTTCTAGTTACTTAGGAGATAAATAAGATTTATTGTGTTAATGCTCTTTAAATGAAATTCTAAGCAAAAATGAAACAACACATAAAGGAGAGAGTCTCCCTTCTCAGAGAAATATCCATTTTTGTTTTGGCACCTGTATAAAAAGCTATATGTGCAATTGGGGAGACAGCAATTGTGGTTTTGTTTTCATGGATGCCTTTAGATTTTCTTCCTTCAGTGGTTCACAGTAGTGATGTTATGCATACTGCTGCTAAGTTCATTCTGCTGAGAGGAAAATGCTGTGTTTGCTGCTGTTTTCATGTTTGGCTGGGTACTTTTGCAGCAGACCTCAACAGCTTGACATCAATGTACTTTATTTAAAAAAAAAAAAGTATCTGCAATAATTACTAGTTTCTTTATTTGTGCTATGTGAAAACTGTATTGCAATATTGGCTATGAAAGATGCCTATAGTACCAGAATTAGTTGTACTGCTTAGGTTTCAGAGGTGCTAAGTGAAATATTGTCGGTGGGGATAGCCACATTTCCAAATGACTGTCTGCAGAGCTTCAAATACATTTTACTTCAAAATATTTTACAATGGGATATAAAAGCCCATTGTATAGTGTAAAATTTTGTGAGGTAAAGAACCACATGCTCCTCTCAACTAGAAAATACTTTTAACCAATCTGTGTAGCATGTTAGAATCATATTGCATGTCTCTGATCTTGTTAGTTGCCTAACCTTCACTTCAATTGCTCTGTCATTTATCAGCTTTCATATTCTAGGGAGATCTGTGTTTATTTGGGGAGATTCCTTGTGGCTTTAGGGTAGATAGGTATACAACAAGCTTCAACCATGAAGGCCCCCTGGCCATACACATAAACTGGGAGGGTTATTATTTTAGGATGATTTCATATAAAATGTCCCTTGCCCTCCAGTAGAGCAAGCCCTTTTAGTAAAGATTTGTGATACAATGTATTTTTAAACATCATCTTTCTTCAAATGTGACAATTATACCGAATTTATGAAGATCATTGCTATTGAACTTAAGTCTCCCAGTAAGATGAAATGATAGAGTAATGGAAAAAAATTCTTACACACACGCACGCATGCACACACACAAAGATTCTCTGTGGGTTTTCTCTCCCTATGGAACTTCCTGATGTTCAAACGCTATGGCATGTATAATTCGATTGTAACTGTTTCTGAATACTGCTTTCTCCTCTTGGCAGCATGGGGTAACCTTGGAAATGTTCTCAAGAGCCAGAGCAAGATTTCTGAAGCTGAAAGCGCCTATAGAAATGCCTTGTACTACCGCAGCAACATGGCTGATATGCTTTATAATTTGTAAGTATGCATGGCTTTTCCTGGGTTGGTTCATCTGTGAAACCTGCTGTGAATGGGGCTATTGATTTAGTTGTTGGAAATGGAGATGATGTTAGCTGTTGCTTTTTTGTAATCCTTTTAATTAATCTTGCTCCTTAAACTATGGGTGGAGAGGGATGCTTTTTGATTTCATCCATATTATCAGATATCCATGTATTGGTGCTCTATTTTGAAGGGAGCAAGTATAGAAACTGTGGATCCATGTAGCCTAAACTCATGGCTCTGGTCTGAAGAAAAATATACAAATCTGTGTGCTCACTGGAAATCCACTGAGCAAAGTTCTGATATTCAAGTCAGTAATGTCAGCATCATATCCAAATTTCTGATCTCCACTAAAATATAAACACACTGATCCACACTTGTGGGCAGGGGCGGCTCGATGTATTTTGCCGCCCCAAGCACGGCAGTCAAGTGGCTTTTGGCGGCATGCCTACGGGAGGTCCGCCAGTCCCGCGGCTTCGGTGTACCCGCCGCCAAATTGCCGCCGAAGCCGCGGGACCGGCAGACCTCCCGCAGACGTGCCGCCAAAGGCTCCCTGACTGCCGCCCCCACAGCGACCGGCAGGCCGCCCCCCACGGCTTGGCGCCCCAGGCACGCGCTTGGTGCACTGGTGCCTGGAGTCGCCCCTGCTTGTGGGGTCTTTTTTTGTTTGTTTGTTTGGGTTTTCTATTCTTTCTTTCTTTTTTAAATATTGCTATGAGGTCGTGTAGCGACGCGGGACTCACCCCTGCAGTGCCTCCTGCTGGTCATCTTGGGACTTAGCTTGTTTCCAGCCTTGGAACGCCCTCTGCAGGCCGGTGTCCCGCTGCTGCTTGGCCCCCGTGTCCCTCCCAGACCCAGTGCCCTGTTATCTGGGGTGCTGCCCCCTGGCAGGAATCCCTTTCTCTCAGGGCCTCCCCAATCTGGGGAACTCGCAACCCTCTAATCCCCACCTTGCCTCAGTCGTGGGATACTGCAAGTCACCATCTAGCCCCCGCTCACTGGGGCAGACTGCAGTGTAAAAGCCACTCATCATAGGCAAGGTTGGGTTTGGACCTGCTGCCTCTGCCTGCCCGTGGGCGGTCCTCTGCAACCTCCAGTACCCATTGGCCTTCGGCTGGGCCGCAGCCTGGGGCTTTCCAGGCTGGAGCTTCCCCAGCTCCTCTGCCTTTCCCCAGCCCTGCTCCACTCAGGTACTCTGCTCAGGTCCCTGCAGCTAGGTCCATCTCCCTCTACAGTTAGAGAGAGACTTCTCCTGGGCCTGTGGCTCACAGACTTTTATAGGGACCAGCTGGGCCTGATTGGGGCATAGCCCAGCTGTGGCTACTTCCCCAATCAGCCTAGCATTTCCCTGCCACAGCCCTCTCCCTGGCTGTTTTAAGCCCTTCAGGGCAGGAGCAGGGTAACCACCCCGCTACAGATCAAGATCTGGACATTGTCTAGTATAAACCAACGATATCTGGTCAGAGTCTGAGGAGTCTGCTATGTCAAAGTAGCTTAGTATTTTTTTGTCCCTACATGATTGATATGGATAGCAGCACATACATGCAGAAAGGTCCCTTATTCCAATTTGTATGTGTTGGTACGTGTGTGGGAGAATAAATAAAATGAAAAGTTGAATGACAGCAATATGGCAGAGAGGTTATTTCTGACTCATTAATCCTTTTAGATAATAAACAGCCTCACCATAGTACACACTTATTAGGTAACATCTTGAGCAACTGAAGTGTGATCATACTGTGTAACGTAACACTGAAAATGTGGAGGTTCTATGTTTGTGTCTCATGTACTTCCAGCTCAAATTTGCTTAGTACACAAGCTTATTTATTTTCTTTAAAAACTGCCAATGTATCCTGCTATCTCAAAGTCAAGCTGAATATTGTCTTGTGCGTCATCACCTACAATACTGAAGGTCAGTTATTCAGTTTCACTGTGTGTGAGGTAGATCAGAATCCAGCTAATGCCATTGACTACATAGCATGAACAGGAGTGAAAAAATAATAACTTGTGTGATAGACCCAGGCCAGTTTGCTACAGCAGAATAGCAGAAGGCAGATATACTGGCCACTGGATTAACAGTTTTCTGTTCCCTGACTGACCAGAGCAGGGGCTGCTCCAGGCTAATGAGAACACCTGACTCCAATTAACCTGCAAAGAGTCAGGTGAGGCCATTAAGCTAATGTGACCACCTGACTCTAATTAAGGCCCCGCTGATACTATAAAAAGGGCTCACTCCAGTCAGGCAGAGGAGAGCCAGGGAGCCAGAGGGGAGGAAGTGCAGCTGAAGGGCTGGTTAATGAAGACACCCTCAAGTTATTGATAAGGGAGCCCTAAGGTAAGGGTGAAGAAGGGAGAAGCAGGAGAGCTGTGGGGAAGTGGCCCAGGTAAATGTGGCAACTCCGGCAGTGAAAAGTTGGCTGCCAACAGCTGCTACCAATAGGGTCCCTGGGCCAGAACCCGGAGTAGAGGGCGGGCCTGGGTTCCCCCCACCACTACAGGAACACCTCCTGGGAGGGGAAGTCAGGCCCCTGTCAGGACAGGAGGCTAAACTGTTCTAAAACAAGCCCCTAGGGACAACAGAGACTGTGGGAGTTCTCTCACCAACCGCCTTGCTGGTTTATGATGAAAAGGGCTCAGTAGACTGTAACCCTGGCCCTAGAGAGAGAAGGGCTATGTGGAGGGTCACAGTGAGCCACTGAGGCTAGCATATACCGCCTAGAAGCACAGGACCCACAGGGGCAAGGTCAGAGCTCTGCCACACTTGTTTAAATCAGAAAAATAGGTAGGTGAGAACAAGAATACACACAAGAAGCAAATCTGAATAAGGAGGTCCTTTTTGTACAAAAGCATTGTTCTGACTATAACTGTACTTTTAAAAAAAAAAACATTTACAAAGCTCAGTAATCTCATTCCCACAAAATTCTAGTCCATTGATTCACTAAAAGTAAACTTGCCAATTGCCAGGATAAATACAATGGAAACTTACTTAGCTCCACTTTTTCAAAATAGGTTAGTGAGGTCCTGGTATTGCTATAATTTATGTACCAAAATTAAGCATAATTTTCTTCTAACTGTAGGCTGTTCATGTAATGTGGGTGGAGTTAAGGTTGCACAAGAGTTCTCAAAAGGGTCATTTTCAGATGCTTCTAACTTTGTCCAGTATATGCCTTTTTGGCTGAAGCTTAGCATATTTGTTCTTAGCAAAAACAAGATCTTTTTGTGTGTGTGTGGATACAGGGAAAGAGTTTGAGCAAATATAGTTCACGCATTTTTAAGAAGCAGCAAATGGAAGAAAATATACCAGCCTTTCTTATCACTTTTTAAGAAATAGCTCCTGCATCTGAGCAGGAGAAATTTGGCAAGGATGATGGTCCCTAATTTGCAGACATCTCTTTTGGTGGTTGGATGAAAACTGGTTTTGCTTTGATTGAATTATGATTTTTACAACCATATTTATTCATGTGTACTGTTTTTCCTAGTCAATCGACACTCTTCCAGCACAACATTGGTAGTGAACTACACGCATATGTAAGTTGAATAGAGATTTCCAGTGAGTAGATAGTTTCTTGGTATTCCATTGGATTGACATGTGTGTAAGAAAGTGAACTGAAATTTCAGTTTGAATATGTAGGACTGTGCAAGTAGAAGAAGGAAAAGCTCATCTGGAGCACAGCCTTCTTTCATACAATGCCTATATGTGCAAGTGCAAGGCCACTAAGGCCAAAAAGTGAGGATTCTACCGCTGTTTAGCATATAGTTACACACGAAGGAATCCCTTTTTGTCTGTATTTTCGTTTAAAAAGAAAACAAATAAAACCTATGCAATTCCATACAAAAATAACTTTTCATTAAAGTTAAAGATTGCAGAGGGAAGCATTAAAGTGGAATATAAAGCATGAATATTGCTGGACAACGTTAATTCTCTCCCCTTTTGTGTGTGTGTTATGGTAGTCTTTGGTCACATAGTCTCATATTCTAATTTGTTAGACATCCACTTCATTCAGTGTGCAAGTTGGACCATGAATGAGGCACGAGTTCACAAACTGAACAATGAAGTTAAGCATAAATACTGAACAGCAGCCTCATTCCCTGAGTACATTCTGGTCATGAAATTAGTCAGGAACTTTATAGGGGAAATACTCTGTAGTCCCGTAATTGAAGGCTTTTGAGTACTTCCCTTTACAATCATAACGTTCTTTTAATGTAGCTTTTGATAGAGTTAAACTACAACCTGGCCATTACAGATTTCCAGTGGATTATGAATGGAGGGAGTAGATTCAATACATTAAGTAAAACACCTTAACAGTGTGTCTGTATTTAAAATAATTTCATTTAAAAACATATTGCATAACCTGGCCATTATCTTTTTACAGGTTAAAACCAAAGGAATTTAGAAAAACGGCTTTCTAATAAAATACTATATTCTTGAGGCATAAAAGATAAAAATTTGCAGCTTCTGAAACTGTTATGTCATAATATTGCCATAGGCAGTAGCACTTTTGCAATCCACTGGGCAGAAGAGAAAGAAACCTCAAATTTCTAAAGCCTGTAACATTTCAGTATTACTTACACAAATTTACAAAACAGTAAACTGAATTTCCAGGTAAGAGCGGAAACACATTTTATTAGATGAATATTATAGGCTGTGTCTTGTTAAATACCACTGCATGAGGCATCATACTTAAGAGAAATTTGTTCCTCACTAATTTAGAGTTTATAGTAATTATATCATCCTTATTCAAAGCCTTGCCTAATTCTGAGCGTGTCATTTGCTCTATGGAGTCTGTAATTGATAGAACAGCATAGTTATATAACCCTTGAATAATTTCTAAACTGTTAATGAACAGCTGACTACTTACTTTGAACATATAACAAGATATTCTTTTTTATTACTACTTTTATGGAATTATATGGGAGTGAGCATGGAGCAAGGTGGGGAAATTAGTATCTGCTACCAATCACATATGTTGCAGAGCCCCAAT